CATTTTGGTAGACCCTTGATTTAGCAAGTAAATTTTGGTATCCTTAATTTCTTCCAATATCAAGAATACCATGGAGGGCGAGATATTAATAGTATAGAGAACAGCGCCAGTAAGAAGTTACTTCCTGGTGTGATGGTCCAATAATAGATCCTCAGGAAGGACCTAAAGGATATAAATTTGTACTGAAATATTTATCGAATGTTTTTCTTTACTGACATCTTCCAAAGAGAAGAAGCGGCTCTGTGAAGACGCATATATATTGTAGAGGTTTGTGACGTCATGGAGAAACCTTGACAAGCTCGTCTCCATTTTTAATCATACAAGGATACAATGCTGGCCTGTCTTTACCGACAACATGACAGGCAAAACTGGCTGTCGTGACGTCTGAAGCTGCAGGAACTTGCTATAAAACATTAATTTGCTTGATGGGATTAAAATCTCATTCCATCACTTACCTTTGTTATACAGGTATTACGGCGATCAGTCTACCGATTTCGTCTGCGTGTGTTAGAGAACTAGCTTAACAATATAGACAACATGTCACTGAGACAGAAGTTGCCTGATAATATCACAATCAAATAAGGGACATGTGCTTTACCATCGATTTCATTTGTTTTATCCAGCTTAATTTGTATATTCTCTAAGTGCTTTCATTTGTAAGGTTTCATGTTATAACGCACTCTACATACGTTAAATGTGAGAAGGTAAATCTACAGATGTCTGATGCTAGAAGGTAAATCTACAGATGTCTGATGTTAGAAGGTAAATCTACAGATGTCTGATGTTAGAAGGTAAATCTACAGATGTCTGATGTTAGAAGGTAAATCTACAGATGTCTGATGTTAGAAGGTAAATCTACAGATGTCTGATGTTAGAAGGTAAATCTACAGATGTCTGATGCTAGAAGGTAAATCTACAGATGTCTGATGTTAGAAAATAAATCTACAGATGTCTGATGTTAGAAGGTAAATCTACAGATGTCTGATGCTAGAAGGTAAATCTACAGATGTCTGATGTGAGGAGGTAAATCTACAGATGTCTGATGTGAGGAGGTAAATCTACAGATGTCTGATGTTAGAAGGTAAATCTACAGATGTCTGATGTTAGAAGGTAAATCTACAGATGTCTGATGTTAGAAGGTAAATCTACAGATGTCTGATGTTAGAAGGTAAATCTACAGATGTCTGATGTGTGAAGGTAAATCTACAGATGTCTGATGTGAGAAGGTAAATCTACAGATGTCTGATGTGAGGAGGTAAATCTACAGATGTCTGATGTGAGAAGGTAAATCTACAGATGTCTGATGTTAGAAGGTAAATCTACAGATGTCTGATGTGAGAAGGTAAATCTACAGATGTCTGATGTTAGAAGGTAAATCTACAGATGTCTGATGTGAGAAGGTAAATCTACAGATGTCTGATGTGAGGAGGTAAATCTACAGATGTCTGATGTGAGAAGGTAAATCTACAGATGTCTGATGTCTTATATGGTAAATGAATTGATGGATTGGTAAATCTACAGATGTCTGATGTGAGAAGGTAAATCTACAGATGTCTGATGTACACACCAGGTAAATCTACAGATGTCTGATGTGACAAAACAAATAGCAGTCAAAAGAATTGAAAAAAAAACTACAGATGTCTGATGTTAGAAAGTAAATCTACAGATGTCTAATGTTAACATTAATAATAGGTAAATCTAGAGATGTCTGATGCGAGAAGGATAAAAACATCTGTTAGCTATAAAGGTTTAATGACATCTGATGTGAGGAAAGGCATATTATCTTTTATACAGATGAGTCTGATGTCATTGAGGAGGTAAATCAGACACAGATGTCTGATGTCATTGTCATACTGACAGTAAAACCTGACACAAACATGTACTGAAATGTCATTGTCATACTGACAGTCAGAACCTGACACAAACATGTCTGAAATGTCATTGTATATGGTAAGAACCAGACACAAAAATGAAATTGATGGTCTGGTACAGACAGTCAGAACCTGACACAAACGAACTGAAATGTCATTGTCAAGACATTAAGAACCAGACACAAACAGGGCCTACTGAAATGTCATTGTCATACTGAAGTCAAACCAATGCAAAATTGAAATGTCAATACACACATTTAGAACCAGACACAAACAGGGCCTACTGAAATGTCATTGTCATACTGACAGTCAGAACCAGACACAAACAGGGCCTACTGAAATGTCATTGTCATACAGACATTTAGAACCAGACACAAACACTACTGAAATGTCATTGTCATACAGACATTTGAAAAACAAACATCTACTGAAATGTCATTGTCATACAGACATTTAGAACCAGACACAAACAGGGCCTACTGAAATGTCATTGTCATACTGACAGTAAGAACCAGACACAAACAGGGCCTACTGAAATGTCATTGTCATACTGACAGTAAGAACCAGACACAAACAGGGTCTACTGAAATGTCATTGTCATACTGACAGTCAGAACCTGACACAAACAGGGCCTACTGATGTCATTGTCATACCGACAGTGAACCAGACACAAACAGGGCCTACTGAAATGTCATTGTCATACTGACAGTCAGAACCAGACACAAACAGGACCTACTGAAATGTCATTGTCATACTGACAGTCAGAACCTGACACAAACAGGGCCTACTGAAATGTCATTGTCATACTGACAGTAAGAACCTGACACAAACAGGGCCTACTGAAATGTCATTGTCATACTGACAGTAAGAACCAGACACAAACAGGGCCTACTGAAATGTCATTGTCATACTGACAGTAAGAACCAGACACAAACAGGGCCTACTGAAATGTCATTGTCATACTGACAGTCAGAACCAGACACAAACAGGGCCTACTGAAATGTCATTGTCATACAGACATTTAGAACCAGACACAAACAGGGCCTACTGAAATGTCATTGTCATACAGACATTTAGAACCAGACACAAACAGGGCCTACTGAAATGTCATTGTCATACTGACAGTCAGAACCAGACACAAACAGGGCCTACTGAAATGTCATTGTCATACTGACAGTAAGAACCAGACACAAACAGGGTCTACTGAAATGTCATTGTCATACTGACAGTCAGAACCTGACACAAACAGGGCCTACTGAAATGTCATTGTCATACTGACAGTAAGAACCAGACACAAACAGGGCCTACTGAAATGTCATTGTCATACTGACAGTCAGAACCAGACACAAACAGGACCTACTGAAATGTCATTGTCATACTGACAGTCAGAACCTGACACAAACAGGGCCTACTGAAATGTCATTGTCATACTGACAGTAAGAACCTGACACAAACAGGGCCTACTGAAATGTCATTGTCTCATACAGACATTCAGAACCAGACACAAACAGGGCCTACTGAAATGTCATTTTCATACCGACAGTAAGAACCAGACACAAACAGGGCCTACTGAAATGTCATTGTCATACTGACAGTCAGAACCTGACACAAACAGGGCCTACTGAAATGTCATTGTCTCATACAGACAGTAAGAACCAGACACAAACAGGGTCTACTGAAATGTCATTGTCATACTGACAGTCAGAACCTGACACAAACAGGGCCTACTGAAATGTCATTGTCATACTGACAGTCAGAACCAGACACAAAGAGGGCCAATTGGAATAGCATTGCTATACTGACAATTAAAACAAAGTTGCCGCCTAACATTGGTAGCCGGTATGTCATTCTATTGAAGATTATATTACTTCAGTAAATTATATATGGTATCCCCTATAACATTTATCAAAATTAGATAGTTAAACATTAACTTAGTGATAAGTTTGTTTTGCCAATGCTGAGGGAAAGTCGATTTGTGATAAACTAGAATCCTGATTTGTAGAAAGTAACTTCCGTTTTCACTAATCAAAGAACGATGTTGATATGCATTCCGTTGACAGATAAGAGATCATTAAAACAATGTTTATATTACCGCGTGCAGAGAGCTCCGGCAATAGAAAATGGAACACACATACCGTATTGCATATCTTTATTAGTTTCGCTACATTCATGGAAGGCATGTTGACTATTCGTCCTGGATGACCACGTAATGATGTGAAATAATGGCCCGTGATATCGAGAAATGTAGCGGGTTCGTGTAAATCGGTAGGTCCATTTTGGTTGTTTTTTTCCTTTTCTTCCTTCAAATATTGTTCAAACGACACACAAGTGAATAGCACTTTTTCATAATTTAGAGTAAGATACAGTACAGCCAAACAATGAAGTAAACTGCATCATACTGCTGTTTCGTCCTTCTAGGTCTCGTCAAAATGGTTTCATTCTTTTAAATTCCAACGATGTCATCACCGTGTATGAGCTTTTGAATCAATCTGTGGAATTTATGTTAAAAACACGAATGTAAATCGTGTGATTTTTTTTCCCTTTAAAATCCCATTCTTTGAAATAAAACATGTTACATGAACTCCTATATGAAATTGTTGTTTTAAAGACGAATGTAGACATTATTTTCTAGTAACCTGTGTCACACAGTCACGGCAGACCAGATTACCACTTAGCGTGAGTGATCATAAACACTGTTACTCATTCCGTAAAACATTCACACCTTTTGTCATATCATCCGGATACAACTCGTCACAATGTTTCCATTTCGAGATTAAGACGTCACTTGTTTCCGGAAATAGATTTCACCCCGTAATAAAGGAAAGAATAACATAACATCCGGTTACGGGGGAACGTAAAGTCCGGAAAATAGACGCTGATGCGTTTTTGTGATCAGGTAAAATACATTGAGTACATCTTTCGAACGCGAAAGAAAAAAACCCGATCACCAGGTATCTTATTCCGTGTGGTATCCTTGCTCACCACCAGGAAATTTCTCCTTCCTCTGGTTCTCTTGTATCATCGACCATCAGGTATTTTCTTTTTCATGCTTTATAGTATCTTCGGCTAGAAATCTTCTTAGTACTAGTCTCTGTGTTCAACGAACCATCCTCACTGATGTCGAAAGAGTTAACCTTCGTAGATTTTGGGTTAACGTACAAGTGAGTCGTTTGACTGGTGTCGGTGGAGTTAACTTTGTCGAGGTATAAGTACGAATCGTTTGACTGGTGTCGGACGAGTTAACTTTGTCGAAGTATAAGTACGAGTCGTTTGATTGGAGTCGGTGGAGTTAACTTTGTCGAGGTATAAGTACGAATCGTTTGACTGATGTCGGTGGAGTTAACTTTGTCGAGGTATAAATACTAGTCGTTTGACTGGTGTCGGACGAGTTAACTTTGTCGAGGTATAAGTACGAGTCGTTTGACTGATGTCGGACGAGTTAACTTTGTCGAGGTATAAGTACGAATCGTTTGACTAGTGTCGGACGAGTTAACTTTGTCGAAGTATAAGTACGAGTCGTTTGACTGGTGTCGGACGAGTTAACTTTGTCGAGGTATAAATACTAGTGGTTTGACTGGTGTCGGACGAGTTAACTTTGTCGAGGTATAAGTACGAGTCGTTTGACTGGTGTCGGTGGAGTTAACTTTGTCGAGGTATAAATACTAGTCGTTTGACTGGTGTCGGACGAGTTAACTTTGTCGAGGTATAAATACTAGTCGTTTGACTGGTGTCGGACGAGTTAACTTTGTCGAGGTATAAGTACGAATCGTTTGACTGGTGTCGGACGAGTTAACTTTGTCGAAGTATAAGTACGAGTCGTTTGATTGGAGTCGGTGGAGTTAACTTTGTCGAGGTATAAGTACGAATCGTTTGACTGATGTCGGTGGAGTTAACTTTGTCGAGGTATAAGTACTAGTCGTTTGACTGGTGTCGGTGGAGTTAACTTTGTCGAGGTATAAATACTAGTCGTTTGACTGGTGTCGGACGAGTTAACTTTGTCGAGGTATAAGTACGAGTCGTTTGACTGATGTCGGACGAGTTAACTTTGTCGAGGTATAAGTACGAATCGTTTGACTAGTGTCGGACGAGTTAACTTTGTCGAGGTATAAGTACGAGTCGTTTGACTGGTGTCGGACGAGTTAACTTTGTCGAGGTATAAATACTAGTGGTTTGACTGGTGTCGGACGAGTTAACTTTGTCGAGGTATAAGTACGAGTCGTTTGACTGGTGTCGGTGGAGTTAACTTTGTCGAGGTATAAGTACGAATCGTTTGACTGGTGTCGGACGAGTTAACTTTGTCGAGGTATAAGTACGAGTCGTTTGACTGGTGTCGGTGGAGTTAACTTTGTCGAGGTATAAGTACGAATCGTTTGACTGGTGTCGGACGAGTAAACTTTGTCGAGGTATAAATACTAGTCGTTTGACTGGTGTCGGACGAGTTAATTTTGTCGAGGTATAAGTACGAGTCGTTTGACTGATGTCGGACGAGTTAACTTTGTCGAGGTATAAGTACGAATCGTTTGATTGGTGTCGGACGAGTTAACTTTGTCGAGGTATAAGTACGAGTCGTTTGACTGGTGTCGGACGAGTTAACTTTGTCGAGGTATAAATACTAGTCGTTTGACTGGTGTCGGACGAGTTAACTTTGTCGAGGTATAAGTACGAATCGTTTGATTGGTGTCGGACGAGTTAACTTTGTCGAGGTATAAGTACTAGTCGTTTGACTGATGTCGGTGGAGTTAACTTTGTCGAGGTATAAGTACGAATCGTTTGACTGATGTCGGACGAGTTAACTTTGTCGAGGTATAAGTACTAGTCGTTTGATTGGTGTCGGACGAGTTAATTTTGTCGAGGTATAAGTACGAGTCGTTTGATTGGTGTAGGACTAGTTAACTTTGTCGAGGTATAAGTACGAGGTGTTTGACTGGTGTCGGACGAGTTAACTTTGTCGAGGTATAAATACTAGTGGTTTGACTGGTGTCGGACGAGTTAACTTTGTCGAGGTATAAGTACGAGTCGTTTGACTGGTGTCGGTGGAGTTAACTTTGTCGAGGTATAAGTACGAATCGTTTGACTGGTGTCGGACGAGTAAACTTTGTCGAGGTATAAATACTAGTCGTTTGACTGGTGTCGGACGAGTTAATTTTGTCGAGGTATAAGTACGAGTCGTTTGACTGATGTCGGACGAGTTAACTTTGTCGAGGTATAAGTACGAGTCGTTTGATTGGTGTAGGACGAGTTAACTTTGTCGAGGTATAAGTACGAATCGTTTGACTGATGTCGGTGGAGTTAACTTTGTCGAGGTATAAGTACGAATCGTTTGACTGGTGTCGGACGAGTTAACTTTGTCGAGGTATAAGTACGAGTCGTTTGACTGATGTCGGTGGAGTTAACTTTGTCGAGGTATAAGTACGAATCGTTTGACTGATGTCGGACGAGTTAACTTTGTCGAGGTATAAGTACTAGTCGTTTGATTGGTGTCGGACGAGTTAATTTTGTCGAGGTATAAGTACGAGTCGTTTGACTGATGTCGGACGAGTTAATTTTGTCTAGGTATAAGTACGAATCGTTTGATTGGTGTAGGACTAGTTAACTTTGTCGAGGTATAAGTACGAGGTGTTTGACTGATGTCGGACGAGTTAACTTTGTCGAGGTATAAGTACGAATTGTTTGATTGGTGTCGGACGAGTTAACTTTGTCGAGGTATACGTACGAATCGTTTGATTGGTGTCGGACGAGTTAACTTTGTCGAGGTATAAGTACGAGTCGTTTGACTGATGTCGGACGAGTTAACTTTGTCGAGGTATAAGTACGAGTCGTTTGACTGGTGTCGGACGAGTTAATTTTGTCGAGGTATAAGTACGAGTCGTTTGACTGGTGTCGGACGAGTTAATTTTGTCGAGGTATAAGTACGAGTCGTTTGACTGGTGTCGGACGAGTTAATTTTGTCGAGGTATAAGTACTAGTCGTTTGACTGGTGTCGGACGAGTTAATTTTGTCGAGGTATAAGTACGAGTCGTTTGACTGATGTCGGACGAGTTAACTTTGTCGAGGTATAAGTACGAGTCGTTTGACTGGTGTCGGACGAGTTAATTTTGTCGAGGTATAAGTACGAGTCGTTTGACTGATGTCGGACGAGTTAACTTTGTCGAGGTATAAATACTAGTCGTTTGACTGGTGTCGGTGGAGTTAACTTTGTCGAGGTATAAGTACGAGTCGTTTGACTGATGTCGGACGAGTTAACTTTGTCGAGGTATAAGTACTAGTCGTTTGACTGGTGTCGGACGAGTTAATTTTGTCGAGGTATAAGTACTAGTCGTTTGACTGGTGTCGGACGAGTTAACTTGATAGAAGTAGAGTATGCGTACTAAGTGAGTCGTTTCATTGGTGTATGACGAGTTCACTATATAGAAGTAGGGTATGCGTACTAAGTTAAACTTTTGACTGTCTAGAACGAATTTCTAATGTCTACTGAAGGTTCGTTGTCGGGTGAGTCATGTGACTGAACTGGTATCGGACGAGTCTACTTGGTTGAGCGAGGATTTACGATGTAATATATAGACCACTATCAGCAGAAAAAATGACATTAGCTGGGCGCGATGACATGATAAAATCTAGTTATAAACAAACATTGAGTAGTTTAATTGACAAGCCTTAACAGTACGAGTCTTAAAAGTAAGGAAAACCTTGATATAGTGTCTGTCTTTTGTAAATTACCCCTTGCTGGATACCAATATCCGGTGTCGTGAAGAGTCAGTGATCTATAAACTGTTGGATGGGCATATAACTCCGGCTTTTTAAACGTTAAAACCTTAATAAGCGTCACTCTTTAGCTATATTCTTCAAGCTTTGTCCACTTTTGTTATGTATGTTTTATCGTAAAAAAATGATTATTGATAACAATATCTACACCGTCTTTATCAGGAAGTGCTGTGTTTATCCAGGTGTCGGGAACACTCTTACCATTATGTGTATGTTAATGCTTTAGGTCCTTCGCTCATGAAACTTAATGGGTACGTTGCTTCACTGTGATAACCACAAGTTACAAGAAACAAAACATATTGATCAGATGATGCAAAATCTAAACAGATCGATAATTGCTTAAATTCCTTGGCATACCCTTGATGTCAGCTTTCCCAATACTCCTAACGGAAGCTACATGTTTGAGAAGTAATCGTTTGCATTCGGATCTATAGCCTTGGACTATTAATTGGTGCAGTTCTCATTTATTTTCATCACAGTAAGTCCTGCTGGAATTGACATATCTGTGTGTGGTCGCATCCCTAACAGAGCTCTAGAACATTACAATAATGCTAATTCCATTTTCTTCGCATTGCAGTGTTGGCGGTACCGTTGGAGCCGGGACAAGCAGTGCATGCCAACCAAGTACAACCTCAGGTAGAGCCCCCGCAGGTATTGAACATATTTTAGTAGCTGATGGATTGGTCCTAATTGGGTTATATGGAAATGCTGTTCCAGTAGAAATACGTTATTACCTAGCCTACCAAATGTCTGTCTTCTACAAGAAAATTCACGAACAGTCAACGACCCGATAATTTCGTTGGAAAATCTCAATTATTCATGTACAATTTAGTCCCAAATGTTTGGCAATTACGTGGCTCTACAACAACACGGCCGACAAGTTAATGTTTTTGTTTTAACAGTTGTGTCATGGACAATTATAGCGATATGGCGACAACGTTCACACAATTTTCTTACAAACACTGAAATATCAACCAATCGCCTGTTTACACTGGTCATTCAGAAGGGTATAGTTTCTTTGGAACATCACCATCAACCTTTTAAGACAGGCTTTTGACGAATTTTCACTAAATTTCTCCTCCTATGAATGCCTTGATATACACACGATGCTGTAAGACCACTGAAGCGTAGAAAGCATAAAAGATTTTTCCTCTTATGTCTCCAACTCGGTGAATTATCGTCGTTTGCTGAATTAATTACACAATTGAAAAATGTGAGGTGCAAAAATATTGCTTTTTATTTGCATGGGAGACGAAGCAGAAACCCCAAATCTGAGTATTCAATCCAATAAGTTCCGTAGATAACAATACGAAGTGATATAATACTGGATATTTCATAGTTTATTATATCTTCATGTCAATCTTTGTATTTCACCTCATCCGACAAACAAGTGATCTTATGCAATGGCGTGGCGTCCGGCGTCTTGCGTCCGTCAACTCTTTACTAAAAATCGCTACTAGTCATGAACGACTGAACAGATTTTGACCAAAGTTGGTCAGAAGCATCCTCTGGGTTAGAAAACCATCTTTGTATAGATATCAGTGCTCGACCTCCAGGGCCCTGAGGGTCGGTGCCTAAAAGGGGGAATTTTGCAAATTCTGTAAAATCCTACTCCTCCTTTAGGAATGAATGGCTTTAGCACACATTTGGTTCGAAGCATTCTTGGGTAAAAGGAAACCAAGGTGGTAAAAACATTGGCTATCGGACCTCAGGGGCCTGAGACGCTAAAAGTGAAAATTTTGCTGAATCGCAACGATTACGTTATATGCGGTTCATTTACCAATGCCATGGTGATTTTCTGGTTCTCTCCTTTATAGCTTTATTCTATTTCTTTAATTAAATACATCCTCAAAGAATTATCACTTTCATTATATATGTGGTTTCGAAGAAGACAATCGACCATACGTTATATTTTATATCCAAACTAGATCTCAGCGGTCCATCATTCCATTTCTAAACCAATAATTTTCCCCTGACATGTAGTATATATTTGATTTATGTACTAGAATTGCGTACATTATAAACGTAATTAAATCAATCCAAGCCTCTTAACTGTTCTCCGCAATCCCATTGGTCTGGGGACATTGATTTCCCCAGGTATTTGTGTTACAGAGTAATACAAGGACGAGGTTTATCAAATTTTGTATAAGATAAATGATCGTGTGTCTATCAAACTAGCGACATTTATCAACCAGTCAAATATTTCAATATGAAATAATTGTTCAATAACATAGCAGCATTAGATTTAGTACCTTGTACTTCATAGCGAGACATTCTGGAATAATATTTCTGATTGGTTTCGTCTCGTGACAATTATAATAAAAATCAAAAGAGAAGAACGGTAGCTTGCTTCAAATTCATCATCCATTTTGTTATAATCTATGTCTACTGCACTAATTTCCATTGTATGATATTGCCAGAGTCCTTCAAACCTAGAAAAGGAGCTGAAACAACAGCAAACAAAGTCCAACACAGCGAAAGCTCCAACGAACTACTTACCACCCCCGCCGCCCCCTCTTTTACCTCAAAATGACGCCATTTCCGATGAAGCTAACGCAATGCTGGATAACCTCAGTTTCGAAGAAATTGTGGAAGACGTTTTGTCAACTTTGAAGAAACATCCGGAAATATTGAAAGAACTTGCACTAGGTAATATTTCTGTACAATCCATGTTAAATATCGTTTTCTGCGACAACATGAAACTCAATGGGGAACAATTCATGAAAGTACTTTTGCGATGGTTTTTCGGCTTTCTTTCATGACATTAATATATTGGTGACAAATTCTTATCAATCTTTATTTACTTTTCTACTAACGTGAAAAGACAGTTCTATAACTCTGGGGCCTTTCTCCCAGACAAAGACAAATTGCTGGGTAGATATTGGCAGTATTGATCAGACAATGAAAACTAATGGCTGTTCCGACGTAGCTTGAACTTTCCAGTAAAGCTGTTCGGACTAAATCAAATACCTGGGCAGACGGAAGTAACGTCAGTATTGACAGGAGGTAAAATACATCGCTTTTGTCTGTAGCTGTTATGAATGTAGGATTATTCTTTACTGAAACGGCTAGGTTCTTGTAGGGTACATTCCCTAATCACTCTAGCCAGGGACATGCGCTCATAAAACACAGTGTCAATGTTTGATGGGTATGTAGTTAATTTTGATACTCAAAGACTTTCGTTTGTTGTAAGCGCCGATATTATAACACTCTGTAACCAATTTGTCAGCCTTCTACCTTTCAGTGTAATTTCCATGTTAATATCTGAAACACCAAATTGAAATTGTTTTTTTATTAAGAAAAAATGTTAAAAAAGCAAGGTCTCGCGATAACAGTTTCTGAATGAAATAAAATGTTGTAATATTAAAGCTTACTTTTATAATTGAACTTTGTGTTACATGGTATCAGTTTAATGTTGTTGCATTTCAAAAAGTTTATTTTTCGACTTAAAGTTCTTCATTTGTAAAGAAATGATGTATCGTACAAACATGTGACTCGTTCACATATATCTTATCATTGAGCCAAATATTCACTATATGATGGTATTTTTTCTCAGATGAAGAACAGAAATCTGGGATAGTAATTGACCAGGAAGACGAACATCTCCCGACCAATTACCAGATGCCACCTCCACAGCTCCACCAGGTCAGTATAAGTCAATGTTAACATGTATGTCTCAATAGTCTTACCAATTTTATCATTAACCTGTAATACGGATTTTTTTTTCTTTTGTGTAATCTCTCACCACCAGAAATGAATCTTAGCTGGTTTCCATACCTGCAGGTTTAACTGGTGTTATACACAGGTTTTAATAAACAAACTGTTTTGCACATTTTTTAGTGGAAATGGTCTAGACCACACAAACAACATAGTTATTCTATAGCTTCTGAATAACGACATGTTATTTCAGCGTGGATCAGAATCATGTAAAATCGTCCGACATCACATCATGTGTTATAAATCAATGAGTTTAATATAACAATATTTGCGTGAATAGAACGACGCGACAGAGAGTGAGAAGGCTGCCACAGCAGAACAAGGGCTTGGGTTAATAAGTAAGGCTTGACACCAAACCTTTTAGCACATGCTAGGATGCTTGTATATTAATGAAGCCGGAAAGTGACCAACCATTTTCGGTCGCTATCAAGCTTCAATTAATTTTGTGTACAAATCAAATTAGGAAAACATAAAATATAGTCAGACATGACGTTTTATCTGTATTCCGAGAAATAATTGCTTCTAATCCAGAAATCCCTCGCGAGATCAGAAATGAGATTTGTATTTTCCCCAAAATGGGGGAAAGTGTCGGTGGAACTCTCTTGTTCCCATATGTGTGGCCGAATGGGATCTGTAGGAGAACATACTATTTTTAATGTGTACAAAGCACTACATGATACATAAAATGCCTTCAATATGAATGTTGATATGATATAGAATACTTTAAAGAGAAAGGCGCATTAAATCGGCCATAAAAAATGTTCATGTAGATATCATAGACATCATTTCTAATGTTTCATGTATCATAACACCTACGTGTGACTGTAACTGTTGCTATGACACCGAACCCTAATCGTTCCTAGCACGTACGAAGTTTAAGTTAAAAAGTGTAAGATAAATCAACGCTGAAGCGCCCCGCTGTTGTGTTGGAAAACATCAGCGAAATTATCGGGATTTTGTCACACGAATCTATATATGAGCATAACGTTATGTATGTTTCATGTCGTGAGCAAAAGGTTATAAGTTTCTGGTGTGGTAGATGATGAAAACTGTGACTTTGGACACAGCGACCTTGTGATTGAAATGAACTAGAGATGGCCTTGATATCACATAGTACAATTAAATCCTGCTCCAATAAAGAGACGTCGGTAACCCACCTGACGGTTATAAAAACACTCCCTCGTGCAACATTGAATCTGAATGATCACATGGAGAACAGTACTACAGGATTTCAACGACCTTCTACTCCCCTGTGTATCACCAGTGTCACTCGCTACGGTCACATCCATGTGCTGTACGAGAGAGACGTGATCCCTATATATGTTAACGTCCCTAAAGACATGCTTCCTTGGCCACATCTAATGGCTGTTTACTAATACGACGTGTTTTTTCACATTAGTTCCATAAATTTTGACTTAAGTAAAGCGACTCGACTTACAACTGGCCTTACTACACTCTCATATTGGGTCCTAATCGTCTTGTCTGGTAATGAAAACAATTGGGGAACATGATACAATGATAAAAAGCTTTGTTACCTAAGTGGGGACGACATTCGGGATCATTGGCGCACCTGATATGTGATTAAGGAAGCTAAAGATGTTATCAATGCGACATTACTGGAGTTGTCCTAACCATACCGCATGCACGTCTCCAACCGGTGTAACGAATAGAATTGGGAATTGCTGTAACTGATGGCGGAATCAGAAATATGCATTAATTCACGGCTAATATTGCGGGGAATGGTCATTAAGTTTGACTGCATAAATATTCAACGTGTACTTTTTAATTTCCTATTTCGTGGCTTGTTTGAAAACTGTCGAGAATTCTGATTACTTCAGACACTCGTGTCGATGTAGTGGCGTTTCTTGATTTACCCCTCGACAACTTCTTAACAAAATATATAATCAGGAGCTGTGGTGCCATGATTAAACGTCATTGCTGTGTGTATTTACAGAAATCTCACTGAATCACACTCGCGTCTGTTTAGTTGACATTTCAAGCGAAAAAATCTAAGACAAATCTGAACGTCAGGTCGGGGAAATAAAAACAAATGTCATCGAGACGTTACACAACGTGTCGGTAAAGGTACACACATTTGTGATATTTTGGAATTTTCAATAATAGCATGTGGGCATTTATAGCGAGTCCAAATGTCGTCAACTAATAAGACCCCTATTAGGTAGTAAACACGTGATCCACAGGGGACTAGTCTCAAGGACAACATCCACAGGAAAGGCAGATACGGAATGACGTAGTTTGTGATTAGCTTAATTTGAAGGAAGACCATGTAATACCTAACTAATGAGAATCTATCTTAGAACAAGGTCACGTGCTTTCTATAAACGTATTGGTGTGCTGAGTTGTATTTCTGTGCTTTATAAACCAGTTTACTGTTCAGTCTTACTTAGCCTTTGGAGAAAGCCTCTTGGATTATCAAAATGGATCCCACACACCGAACTGAATCTACTACACGACAAAATGCATTGCTACCCATCCTTATTCGAGACGAAAAAAGTACTTACAGATACTGCCAGACGAATATTTGTATTGTCTGTTGGACACGAAACAAGACATTGCGCCTTCCATTTGCAACAACCCTCATTATCGTCGTTCACACAGAGGGTGCTTAATGGAATAGCTTTCATTCGCGGCGATGCGCTAAGCATTGGTCATTAGACTAACACAGGGAGAAAAGTCATACTGTGTCATTGTTTCGGCCAAGATCTGCGATCAGCTTGTAGTGTTTTTTCTACATGATGCTGTGATATTTTACTTTTTTAGACACTGCTGAAACTTTGACATATTTGAACTTTGAAGGGTTATCGCTGCTCGGTGTATTTCGGGATGACATACAAGTTTCTATAAGAGTCTCTGACCAACATAAAAGTAAAATTTTTAATATTGCCCGATGTGTTCCAACAACTATGGGTGTGAGATTAAATAGAAACGAAGTCATGACAAATGGACCGTAGGTCACAATTTAAAACCATTCTCGTTTCGTATGTCGCAAATGTATGCCCGCGTGTGTACTGCAATATCCCGGAAAAGGACGAAGGTATCAAACAGATAAGCAAGACCGTTGATCCTACTGGTCTAGTAATGGAAAGCTAAGGTCAAAATACTGCACTGTCAGTCCAGTACGTGTTCATTATTTCTTTATTCCAGTATTGATATATCAGGACATTTGTAGCTGTATTCACCATGTCAACAGTACACAGAAGGGGGCCTTGTCCAATCCTGACCATAATCTGTAAATCTTTTGTCTAGACTGTTCCCCTAAAACACATCGACCTGTGGTATCCGGTGTCATCGGATTACATCCGGATTGTCAGGATCAGAAGTGATCGGAAACGCTTGCTTCCCGCAGGCAATATCGTTATGAAGGGATTTCCGTAGATATTTTTCTACAATATGAAACTTGACATGAATTGTTAAAACATTCTGTTTTCAATATGAAGAGACATTAATCAAATGCGTTTTAGTTCAAATTATCACTGGAAGTCAGCATTTACAGGAACACAGAAATTGAAACACGAGTTCGTCCTTTTGTTCCTGGAGTGAACCTTTGGGATCCATGATGAGTCGACGGCCGTTACCAGCTGCCATGTCGTTTGTCGCATTATTTGCTCCGCGGGCAATCGGGGCGATCGATGGCTCGACTCACGGATGCTCCATCATGGTGCCTTGGAAACAGATTTGGGAATCAGTGAAAACAATTACAACGGGTGATAATATGATTAGGTTTTATAGTCGTTACGAGACCCCTGGGAGGCGTATCTCCTGTGTCCGTACCACGTACGTAAACAGACGTAATACTGTACACAGAACATAAGGTAACAACATTAGAACCCAAACTTCAATACTACTTACTTTGATGTCCGTAGCTTGATTTAGCGAAAGCCCACTTTGAAAAGAAAACGCACGCGTCCCGAACTCGTCTGGCCGTTACTAGCTGTAATACTGTATAGCCAGCCAACCCCCAAGTGACTGCCCGTTAGTATAACAACTCCATCAGGTATACTCTAGATGTTCGTAAATTACATGTATATTTTCTCACTGAATGATATAGAGACCAATTGACCATAAATCATTTCATTGCTCATTGTTTGATAAATAAATCATGTGTATAATGGTCTTCGTCTCGAAAAGTCGTACTATCAACAGATTGCCACTAGACAATGTAAAAGTATGCATCCCCTCAGTCACTGTATAGAACACCACACTACGTCTGTATCCCCTCAGTCACTGTATAGAACACCACACTACGTCTGTAACCCCTCGGTCAATGTATAGAACACCACACTACGTCTGCATACCCTCAGTCACTGTATAGAACACCACACTACGTCTGTAACCCCTCGGTCAATGTATAGAACACCACGCTACGTCTGCATCCCCTCAGTTAATGTATAGAACACCACACCACGTCTGCATCCCCTCAGTCACTGTATAGAACACCACACTACCTCTGTATCTCCTCAGTCACTGTCTAGAACACCACACTACGTCTGCATCCCCTCAGTCACTGTATAGAACACCACACTACGTCTGCATCCCCTCAGTCACTGTATAGAACACCACACTACGTCTGCATCCCCTCAGTCAATGTATAGAACACCACACCACGTCTGCATCCCCTCTGTCAATGTATAGAACACCACACTACGTCTGCATCCCCTCAGTCACTGTATAGAACACCACACTAGGTCTGCATCCCCTCAGTCACTGTAAAAAACGCCGAACTATGTATGAAGTACTCTGTTACCATATAGAATGCCACACTCTGTATGTGTACCCTAGTTACTGTACACAACGTCACACAAGTATGCGTCCTGAGCCACTGTAAACGATGGCACAGTGTGACTCCGGCCTCTGCATAAAACGTCATATCACAACATCACCCAAGTTAGCGTCCCTAGCCAGCGTAT